GTATCCCCCCCCCTCCTCCTCCTGGAGCTAGGCCCAGCCCTGTCCCCGGACCTGGGAGAAAATCAGCCCCAGCCTTCCCCTGGCCGGCTGGAGCACGGAGGAAGCAGGCTCAGGCAGCGCCCCGCTCCTTTCTTCCTGGGGCAGGGCGGAGAATGGTTCGCACCCCAGCGGAGTACGGCCTGAGCCCAGGCCCCTTTGAACTGCCAGCACTATGGGGCCTCAGGCCATGTCCAGCAGGACAGGGAGATGCTCTGGCTCTCTCCCTTGATTGGCTCCATAGCTAACATAAAGACTCAATTTCCCTTTGGATCAAGACTTTAAAAATAATTTTCTGTAAGATACCTGTCTTCTGACCAATGCTCAAAGAAAGGAAGCGAATAGGTTTGGACTGAAGCTGAAAAATCTATGACTACCACAGGATCCATAATTTGGATGCCTAGGAGGGTATGCAACTGATATCCCTATAAATGTTTACAGTGTAAGAGCAGACTTTAAAAAAACCACACAATAAGATGTTGCCAGTAGGGGTGGTAAAATTGTGTAAATTGTTAACTAGTTAAACTATAGATGGGTTCAGCTTGGCTGGAAAAGGCCCCTGGTTATCATGCCAGTAAAGCAATGCTTACCACTTCAGCAGCTGCTGGCACCCAGAATATCACATTTCTACACTTATGTATATTTTATTCACTCCAGAGCATGGACTGCTTACACATTGAGAGCATCTATAAGGCCATCTTTTCTTTTTCATGAATGAAAACTTTGGCCAATGTCTGAGATAGAACATTGAAATGGATGGGGGGGGAGGGGGGGAGGGAATAGAGAATAGATAGAAAAAAGTTTGTAACATTTCTGTGGGGAAACTGGAATTACCAAACAGCATCTACATTTGATTAAATTGATTACAGGATCTACATTAAGTACATTTAGTTCAAGAAAACTAAGTGATTTCCTACTAGACATTAAGAATGTTAAAGATTAGTCGACTATCTGATAAGCATTTGCTTATCCGACAGTAATGTTGACTAGTCAATTCCTCCCGCCCCCCAGAGGCAGCAAAGGTAGGGGGAGGGATACTTCAAATTGGCAGTGCCACACATTTCAAAGGAGGAATGTGGAAGTGCCTATCGACTAGTCGATGGAAATTCAATCAAGCAGTCGACTAGTCAATTAACCGAATTTTAACATCCTTAATAGACATATATTCTGTAAAACATTCTAACAATAATAGCTATGTGTTAATCTACTGTATAATATATGCAGATAGTACTGTATAGATGTTCTCCCCTCCCATCTATATATATCTATATAAATATTAGAGTGAGTCCATTTGTCTGTGAGTCTGTCTGTTGGTCCATTGTTCAAGAACTCCAGACAAACTAATACTACTATCTGATGACTTTTTGGTGAAATCTGTAAAATGAATTTGGTAGTTTTAATTCAGATTCCTGTAAACAGATGTCCTCATTACAAAACACCTCTACAGCTGGTAGCTTCATTGCAGAGCAGTTACTGAACCAGAACTACCCTCTCATGTTAAAGGGAGCGGCAAGTGATGCACAGGAAGCCTAAGCTGTACCTGTACATACTTTTGATAAGCAGAAGACTTCATTCTCCAGAGCTGAGATGACAACCTTTCATCAGCCCTGAAACACTTTTTTAAAATTATAAGTTGTCGATAATAGAAAGTCAAATTTGCTATACTCTCCTTTTAGAAAAAGCGACGAGGAGTCCTGTGGCACCTTATAGACTAACTGAAGTGTAGGAGCATAAGCTTTCGTGGGCAAAGACCCACTTCGTCAGATGCATGTAGTGGAAATTTCCAGAGGCAGGAATAAATATGCAGGCCAGGATCAGGCTGGAGATGACCAGGTGGATCCAATCAAGGAGGATGAGGCCCACTTCTAGCAGCTGATCTGGAGGTGTGAATTCCAAGAGAATAGAAGCTGCTTTTGTAGTTAGCAAGCCATTCACAGTCTTTGTTTAATCCAGAGTTGATTGTGTCAAACTTAAAGATGAACTGTAGCTCAGCAGTTTCTCTTTGAAGTCTGGTCCTGAAGTTTTTTTGCTGCAGGATGGCTACTTTTAGATCTGCAATTGTGTGTCCAGGAAGATTGAAGTGTTCCCCTACAGGTTTTTGTATGTTGCCATTCCTAATATCAGATTTGTGTCCATTGATTCTTTTACGTAGGGACTGTCCTGTTTGGCCGATGTATATAGCAGTGGGGCATTGTTGGCACATGATGGCATATATTACGTTGGTGGATGTGCAGGAGAATGTACCAGTGACAGTATGGCTGATCTGGTTAGGTCCTGTGATGGTGTTGCTGGTGTATATATGTGGGCAGAGTTGGCACCGAGGTTTGTTGCAAGGATTGGTTCCTGAGTTCGAGTTATTATGGTGCGGTGTGTAGTTGCTAGTTCCTTTTAGAGACGCTTCAAGTCTTGGAGGAGATTAACACTTCCTGATGCTGGGTTACTCCCATGTTACTCCCTTCCTCATGGCATTAAGTCTCATTCTCAAAAGCCTGTTCTCAAAAGAACTGATGGGAGAGATGCTGGTGTTCCTGTGTCACTGATACAGATCCACTTGATGAAGGGGGTTTTACTCACAAAAGTGCATGACTTACTACATTTGCTAGTTTCTAAGGTGCCACAGGACTGCTCGTTGTTTATAAAATTATAGAATAACATGGCTATCTCTCTGAGATATAGATCCACCAAGGTGGCACTCAAATTTTCTCTCTGTATAAAAAAGTTTTTTCTTCTGGACAACAAAATGTTCCTGCCAGGTGAAAGAATTACATCATCACATCATCAGCATCAACAGGCTCCTGAAGTGAAAGTGGCCTGAGGGAAGTAGGCAAGCGTACAGGGGGTAGGCAAGCATAGGGTGCAGCCCCCTAGTAGTGTACAATGTTGTATATGCAGCAAATGGGAGAGAGAGATTTTCCTAGAAAATTTGTGTAGGAGGATTACATACTGTTCTCCTAGATGCCTTCCTATTGGATCAGTTCAACTCTTCCCCATATATATGCAATACTTCAAAGAACATCCACCTTTTCACCACTGTGGTGAAATCACTGTGACTTTAACTTGACATGAAATCAAAGTATAGCTGAGCCCCAGAAACTACATTTCAAATACCTCTCTTTGTTAGACAATTAGGTAAATGGGCTCCTTCTCAGGACATGCTTGAAGGTAATGTCGGAGAGAGCACAATCTTAAAGCCACTTAAAGAGACTTAGAAATCTGTAGTGTCAAGGACCTAAGCTGATAGCAGCTTTCAAATACCTAAAAGGGTGTTACAAGGATGAGGGAGATACATTGTTTTTGACCTCTGATGATAGGACAAAAAGCAAAAGGCTTAAATTGCAGCAAAGGACATTTAGCTTGGACATTATGAAAAAATGTCCTGTCAGTGTGGTTAATACTGGAAAAAATTGCCTAGGGGGGTTGGGAATCTCTATCACTGGAGATACTCAAGAGCAGATTAGATAAACATCTATCAGGGATGATCTAGAGAGGGGTTCTTGGTCCTGCAGTGAGGGCAGGGGACTGGACTTGATCTCTCCAGGACCCTCCCAGGTTCTAATGTTCTATGATTTAATCTTTCTGTGAAACAACCAGCTTCTCTGCCTGAAAGTAAAAAATAAAATTAAGAAAAGGTCCTTTTTTTGCTTCATCAATGAGAACAAATAAAAGCTCTGGCAAAGAAGAGACGTTAGTTCAAAGAATAGTTTAGTTTTCCTCAAGTTTGCCACCAGAGACGTCCACTCCCTCACTGCATTTCAGATCTGAGGAAGTGGGTCTGGCCCACGAAAGCTCATCATCTAATAAACCATCTTGTTAGTCTTTAAAGTGCTACATTGTCCTGCATTTTGCTTCAACTACCCCAGACTAACACGGCTACATTTCTATCACTATTCTGCATTTCAGAGGAACCTGACTGATTAACACTGCCTGTCTAGTGATGCTCAGTGTCTCAAGTTCCTCTCCTGCAGCCTGGAGTCCTCCTCCCTACACAGGTCTGCCCCGCTCGCCTTGGAATCCACTGCTTGGCCTGAGTCCCGAGGAATCTCAGGATCCGTTACCCCAGACTAACACGGCTACATTTCTATCACTATTCTGCATTTCAGAGGAACCTGACTGATTAACACTGCCTGTCTAGTGATGCTCAGTGTCTCAAGTTCCTCTCCTGCAGCCTGGAGTCCTCCTCCCTACACAGGTCTGCCCCGCTCGCCTTGGAATCCACTGCTTGGCCTGAGTCCCGAGGAATCTCAGGATCCGTTCGACAACTGGAGGGGGATGGGGCATCAGGAGGGGGCGGAGCTTCACTCCAGTGACCTGGGTACTTACCCAATCCAGCAGACGTGTGGGGGCGGGGCCTAGAGAATGTTTAAATGGCGGTTATACGGGGCACACACGAG